AGATTGGTAGACTTCTATTCTACGAACTTTTAGTTAACAGCTAAATACCATAAACAACTGGCTTCAATCTACTTCTCCCGCCTTTGAAAAGGCGAAAAAAAAGGCGGGAGAAGCCCCGGCAGAATTGAAGCTGCTTCTTCGAATTTGCAATTCGACATGATCACACCATGGAGCTTGGTAAAAGAGACTTCTGTCTCATCTTTAGATTTACAGTCTAATGCTTACTCAGCCATTTTACCTATGTTCATTAACCGCTGACTCTTCTCAACTAACCCCGAAACCTAGAATCTGTATATAGTCTAAGAAAAGTCACTAAAAGAATGAGGGAACACTATATGGTTTAAAATTACAAAAGGAGTTCTGGTGGTGTAGTCTGTAGGTGTACTGCTACTCTAAAGACAGTACCTCTCTGGTGATTTGAATCCATTAGCAGTGACAGAAGGGGAGATAGAGGGACAATCTCCTCCAAGTGTTATTTATAGCTTCAGAAGGGAAATGAGAGATTATTTTTTTGAGAGAGATTTTTTTCACTGTTAAGGGCTATATTCTTTCATCACACTTACTCATACCTTGTATGCTGAGCAAATAGTTGAGGAGTTGGACTAAAGACTGTAGCATCAGGATTGCAGGAAAACTAACTACTAGAACCTCTACTCGGAATATTATTGCTTGTTAATTTTTGACTCATGTACTTTTAACTTGTTAGTTAAATTTGTGTCTTCTAGGTTGCAACACCTCCATGATACATCTTCAAGGATATGAACATGTACGGCTAAGCACAATTAATAACAGTGCATCTAAATTCCAAAATCAATCTCCATAATAGTCTATGTGTTTCCTACTGCCAAAGGGCCCCTTTAGAGTAGTGAAAGAAGATCTTCACCCTGAAACCCACAGCGTCCCTTTTCAGCAGGAAGTAGCTAAGAGAATACGCCATCCCCTTTTCCTTATGAATCAGGGTGAAGTCTCTCTCAGGGAGAAGTGATAGGGAATGGCAAAGGGCACACTGACAAAGGAGATTAATCAGAACTGGCTTTGACAAGCACTGTGGCAATTGGACAATTAAAACAGACATTTGGGGGGTGGGGAAGAAGAACAATGAGCTCAAATATATCAACAACTGTGAAGATGGCTCAAGAGTGGGAAATGTTTTGTTGGAACTAATTTGACTGCACAATAGCAACCATCACCCTCATCATCCTGAAGCACCTTGCTCGACAGAATTATGTGATTATCTTTTAAAGACTACATCATGGCACCATTTATCTGGAAATACCATTCAGAACTGATATAATGCTCTCCAAAAGAGCTTTATTGTATGATTTAGTTTTATGATTTAGCTTTAGTGTATGATTGTTTGTCTCATAGATAAGATCCACAGGCCCAGTAATCAAGTGATTGAAATAGACGTAGTACCACTTACTGTTACCCTTAGTGATCTATGTTTTCTATCTATAGGAGGAGGTCCTATAGAAGTTTCTGGGGGCCAAGGCAGTCTCTGGTCCTATGCTCTGTGGGTCTAGAGCACTGAATATCATGTCTTCCTCTACTTGAGTTCTGGTAAACTCCTCCAAGACATACTTGTTCATACTTTTGGCCAGTCATGGTTTATTTAATACTCTGACATCACACTTCAAAGGCATTGATTCTTCTTTGGTCTTCCTTATTCATTATCCAACTTTCAAATGAATAGGAAGCACTTGGAAATACTGTGGCTGAGATCAGGCACACCTAAATCTTTGAACTGGCATCACTGATTTTTAGAATAACTCTTTAGGCCACTTAGAAGATGTACTTGACAGCAAATTTCCCCAGGCGCAGACCAAAGTCAAGGGGGAGAGTGAAGGGTTAAAAAAATATCAACATGTCAACAAAGGGAATGAATGGCCTTGCCCACCTGGCTAAATCACAATGGAATGTTCCTCCTTTCACTCCCTAAAGACCCTACTGTAAAAATCTGCCCAAACCCACCTTAGGGTGAGATTTTCCTCTGATAAGCCTCTCTTTCCAGACCAAGGAATCCTGTGCAGTAGCTCTCTTAATAAAGCTTATTTGAGCTTTCTCTGTTTCTCTCAGGTCCCTTCCTTGAGTCCTTGGCCTAACATCCAGCGTGAAGACCTAACACTTATTTATTTATTTTTATTTATTTAATTTATTTATTTTGGGGGGGAATGCAACAACTTTATTGAAAGAAAGTGCAATGAAATTTCTTGATAGCATAAGAGAGAGAAACTTAGACACCAGCCCTCAAGCGCAGGACCAAGTTCAGAGTGGACTCCTTCTGGATGTTGTAGTCAGACGGGGTGCGCCCATATTCCAGCTGCTTCCCGGCAAAGATCAGCCTCTGCTGGTCAGGGGGGATGCCTTCCTTGTCTTGGATCTTCGCCTTGACATTCTCAATGGTGACACTGGGCTCGACCTCGAGGGTGATAGCCTTGCCAGTCAAGGTCTTCACAAAGATCTGCATTGTCAAGTGGCGATGGCAGCAGCGAGCACAAAGGGAACAGCAACCGAACTCTCCGACCTCGACGGATCTCCTATTTCTTGACTGCCACTACCATAGATGTTGGCTGTGAAACCAACTGAAATGAAATTGTTGACAATTTGATCTTTTCTCCATCTATCATTATTTTGCTTTTTGGTCCAGTCGTGAGAATTTTTATTTTCTCGATACTGAAAGCTGGTATAAAAAGTTCAATTGCCTATTCAAAAGACAATTTCCTGCAAAATTTCACAGAACAGCAAGCAATAAATGCTGATGAGGTTGTGGAGAAACTGGAAGCCTTATTCACTGTTGGTGGGAGTGTAAAATGGTGCAACCACTGTGGAAGGCGGTATGGCACTTTCTCAAAAAGTTGCAAATAAAGATACTATTCGACCCAGCAATTCCACTACTGGGAATATACCCCAAAGAAATCATAACTGCCACCCAAGCAAATATATGCACACCCATGTTTATCACAGCGTTATTCACAATAGCAAGGAGTTGGAAACAACCTAAGTGCCCATCAACAAACGGATTGGATAGAGAAGCTGTATATATTCACACAATGGAATACTATGCTGCATTGAAAAACAAGGAACTCATGCAATATTATTCAAAATGGGTGACCCTGGAGGACATTATGCTGAGTGAAGTATCTCAGTCATAAAAGGACAAATACTGCATGGTGCCACTGTTGTAAAACAGGACTGACCTCAGGGTTGGGAGGACACTGAGAAGGATGGGTTCAATAATGTATATTACATTGAAACAGATGAGGGAGAAAACTGTTTAAGAGGGGAAATTATTAGGTATTTTTGTCATGACAGGAGTCCAGAGTGAAGGCTGTATAGCGGAGTGGACCTGGGGGGAGGGATTGTAAAACAATGAAAGAAATTTTCTTTTACTTTTCCAAGAGGGTAGTGTACTAGGGGGTAGGGTTGGGAGGGAAGAAAAGTGCAACAATGAATGAATGGAAATCCAAAGTCTCTGTAAATTTTCATTGAAATTAATAATAAATAAAAAAATTGAACCATAAAAAAAAAGACCATATCCAGGCTTTTGAAGGTTTATCTGAGTTTCACTCTTGTAGCCTTCTAGAAAACCTCCTTATTATGGGTAGAATCTGATAAAGTCACCTTCACTGTAGAAACAAGGAACACTTAAACATTATGGCCCCACACCCACATGGACTATAGAATTACATTGTCTTCTATCTTTAATCTACTCTTCTAATTAACAAAAGAATATTCCCTGAAGTAGCATCCTTGTTTTGCCTCTACTCTGTATCCTGAATATACTGGGATGGGTTTTTTTTTTTTGCGGGGGTAGGGTGAGTTGGATAAGGATAGAGGAAGATAAATCAAGAAGCTAAAAATCTAGTTCTTAGCAGACATACTCAGAGCAGCTTTGAAATGTGCTCATAAACGCCTGAAGTTTCAGTCTCATGGCTGTTACAAAACTCTTACTCCTGCCATTTATGGCTCTCCCCATCCCAGTTCTTTAAAAAGTTGGACAAAAGACTCTTAGCTCTGGTTCTATGACATGTTGTTAAGTGCCATCAAGCCACTTATGACTCATAGCAACCCAATGTACAATAGCTCTGAACCCTGTCCTACCCAGTGCGAACTTTATCATCTCCAACATCCCATCCCCATTATCCCAGTCACTGAGTCAATCCAAGGTCTTATGCACTGTCCCTCGAGCCTCCCAAGCATGATATCCCTCTCCAAGGACTGGTCCCTCCTTGCAGCACTCCCAAAGTGTGTCAGACGAAGCTTCAGAATCCTTGCCTCCAAGGAACAGCCTGATTTCACCCTCTCTAGGAAGAACCTGTTTGTTCTCCTAGCAGTCCATGGTGTATTCAATACTATTCTCCAGCACCACAGCTCAAAGGCATCAATTGTCCTTCTATCACCCCTAGTCATTCTCCAGCTTTCCGTTGAAAGTAATTACAAAGACTATGGCCTGAATCAGGCACACCTTAATCTCCAGACTGACATCACTGCTCTTCAGTACTCTGGAGATGTCCCTGATAGCCGATTTTCTTAATGCAATTCATCTTTTAATTTCCTGGTTGCTGGTACCAAGAGTGTTGATTGTGGAGCCAAGCAAACTGAAGCTGTTAACAATCTCAATCTCTTCACCATCTATCATCATGCTGCCAATCTGCCCAGCAGGGAGAATCTTTGTTTTTTTGATGTTTAGCTTCAATCCATATTTAAGGCTGCAGTCCTTGATCTTCTTCAGCAAATGCCTCAGGTCCTCCTCAGTTTCAGCAAGCAAGACTGTGTCATCTGCATTTTGCAGGTTTTTGATGAGTCTTCCTCCTATCCTGACACCACATTCCTCCTCATAGAGCCCAGCCTCTCAGATGATCTGTTCCACATATAGATTGAAAAGGTACGGAGATAGGGAGCATAGCAGTACCAAATTCAGTGCTGTCTGATGTCAGTCTCTGCTTCTCTCCTGCAGGTATGACTGGTTCAAGAATCTCCGGCCCCAAAAGGCATGCTGCACTCTTTTGCTGTTTCTTTACTGGTAGTGAGATTCTCAAAATCTGCCACTGAATCTGCTCAATTTAGTGTCAAGACTAGTCAGTCCCCTTTTGGATAGACTAACACACCCCATGCCCATATTCCTGCCCATTCACATGACAAACTCAGTCAATGGCTAGGGATGCCACTTTGAACAATAAACCCTGAACACTACAGAGCATCCCCTAGCTTTTCTAGCCTTTAACCATAATCTTTGAAGAATTAATTTGCCTCTTAAAATAGACAATAACTATATTAATGAAACTTGTAAACCAGAAACTTCATGCCTAATGCTTTAATCCCTTCATTTTAGATAAACAATTCTTGGTTTGCCCATTCCCATCAAACGAGTATTTAGAGGAAATAAGCATATTCTGTTCTCTGAAAAATCTTCTGTTTCTCTTTGGAAATTTTGAGCATCTGCATCCGTAAGCAAAGTCTTGTCCAGAGGAAGCCGTCAGGTGACAAAAATCAACATTAACTCACAATATGGGATATTTTACCTTCACCTGCTTGGGTTCTGGTCAACTCATCTCCAGCTTGGGTAGGTCCAAATGGGCATCAGCTGTCAATTCAGGAGTCCACATTTCTTCCTGTGTTCTAGACCCTCTGTGCTTATCCATACATCTGTGTATGCTAGTGGAGAGTACTGAAGGACCACATACAAGCTCAGCCAGTCTCTGCATTACTATATGCCTCCTACTTCCATTCCAGTGCACCCAGGTGGTCTCACAAATGAGTATACTCACCAGCTCTTCAACTTCAAGCCCTGGAAGGGAGCTCTGATGTAGGTGACCCTTTGTCTGCCTCAGAAGTCAAACTGTCCATCGCAATTTTAAAATGTCAAAGTCTCTCTTTTTCCCCTTCTCCCCCCGCCCCCCATCTCTTCCAAATATAAATCTATTCAATCAAAAGTCCAAGGAGGTGTATAAATTCATTCAAATGCAAATCTCCTCAGAGTACTGGATGGGGCTTAATCTTCCTCCAGGCTAACTTCCATGCCCTTCCCAAACTCTACTACTTTCAACAAGTATTTTCAGGGCAAAATTTTCTCTTTTTTTAATGTTGTGTTCCATTGAGTTGGAATCTCAAAGGCATTATACTAAATGAAGAGGTAAGATTCAAAAGATTTACATACATTAATGATTTCTCTTATAAGACTTTTGGGAAAAGAACATTGTTTTTGTAGGCTATGGAGTTGGTTTAATTGAGTTAACAGAACAACAACATTGCTAATCCTGCAACATCTTCACACAAATGGCTAGATTTTAGTCCACTGCTGCAATCACAATGTAAATCCATCTTACTGAGATCTTTCTCTTTTTTGCTGATTCTCTACTAACCATTATGCCCTCCAGGGACTGGTCTCTAATGATGACATGTCCAAAATAGACAAAAATCCTTAAAAGCAAGGAACATTATGGTTACACTGCTTCTAGGAAGATTTGTTTGTTTTTCTAGCAGTCTATGGTAAAACATATGCATTAATCTGAATTCAAGAAGAATAGCACAATTGGATTTCCATGGCTGTAAATCTTTACGGAAGCTGACTACCATTATCTTCCTCCTGCAAACCAGCTGGTAAGTTTGAACCACTGACTTTTTGGTTAGCAATCAAGAGTTTAGCTGCTATGCCACCATTAATCAAGTCCCTCAATTCTTTTGTCTTCCTAATTGTTCAACTTTTATATGCATATTTTGTTGTTGTGTTGTTGATTGCCTTCAAGTGAAGCATGACTCATAGCGACCCTATGAACAAAAGACTTGAAGCCCCTCTACAACTATCAACATTTATCAAAGTTCAAAGAGGTTCCGGAGGCATGTTATTTAGGAAATGGATAAGTGACTGGAAATACCATGATTAAGTCCTCAAAGTAACATTTGCTCCTTAACATTTTCAAGAGATCTTTTACAGATACACTTAATCAAGGTATTGTTTGCTTTCTCAACTGCTGCTTCTAGGAACATTGATTGTGGATCCAAGTAAAATGAAATCTTCGACAATTTCAACCTTTTCTTATCATGATGTTGTTTATTGGACCAGTTGTAAGGGAGTTGCACTGCTAAGTCAAAGGCCACATCTCTCTGGAAGGTCAAATATACCAGTGGCTCCATGAGAGCAATCTCCTTATGTGTATTTTTTTACAGTCTTGAAAATCCAATAGAGGGTCACCTATGAGCAACCTCTGACTTGACAGCAATGAATTTGAGAGGTTTTAGATTTTTTATGTTAAGGTGTAATCTATAGGAAGACTGGTTTTTTTAAAAATCATTAGTTTTAAGTTCTCTTTGCTTTCCAGAAGCAAAACTGTGTTATCAGCATATTTCAGATTGTTACTGAGTCTCCAATCCTGATGCTACATTCTTTTTTATCTAGTCCAGCTTCTCAGATTATTTGCCCAGTGTACAGACTGAATATATATAGTGGAAAAATTTACAATCCTGATA